CACACACACACACACACACACACACGCGCGCGCGCACAAACTCATGTTAATTCATATACAGAAGTTCTATTATTCATATCTGGTACTAAGTGCCTTATGCTTACAAATTAGAATATCAGAACTACCGTTTATTATTTTTTTAGTTGATATGTCGGTTGCTTCGAGGTAGACCGTCTCTTTTCCTCTTGAGAGTCAAACGTCACTCGTCTTTGGCTATTCGTCTTTGGCTATTCTTCGAATCTTATTGCCAGTACGCAGTGCTTGAAATACCTTATGTCTGGGCGACTAGGCATAGTGCCCATCGACATACTCGTAGCCCTGATAATACCTCGCAACGTTTTGAACGATCGAAGCGTCTGGTCTTCGGCAGAGGGAAAATCGCTTGTCTAAATCGCGTGAAGTTTCAATATCAAGATCTCTGTAACACCAGTGATACCATTATTAATACAACGCTTTTTACGTTGTATACATAATATTTTTTAAACATCGAATAATCGTGGTTATTAAAAAGTAAAGAATTTATGAAGGTAAGTATTTAAATTTTTAATAATTTGTCATGCTAATTAATATCTTATTACAATTTATTTCGTTAATATATACGGAGAATAGTAATGCATTTGAAATGACAAATGAATAAATTCTCGTTCTAATAATGGCACAATGTACGATTGAATACGACATGCTAAATTGGGAGATAATTGTCTTCTCTTTTCGATAGATATACAATAGGTTATTAAACGTTAGTAGAACCTGTCGCGATCGTATTTAATTATTAGCATTTGTGATACATCGTTTGTTAATTACGATGCGTGTGAGCTTTGTATTGTAATATTTTAAAATAATGGTTTACACATGTTCTTTGACGGGACACAGTTATATAACTAATTATGTTCGCGCTTGAAACACTAAAATACTCATACGTAACGCCGATATATTATGTAATAACTCTCTTAATAATCCTCGAACAAATAGAAAGATTTTCATTATATGAACTATTTTTCATCTTTCACATATAATTGATCCGCAGAACACAAATTATCAGAAACATACCATATAATTTCCTACTTAACAATGAAATTGTTACATGCAATATGTATTACATTACACGCAGGGAAATTATATAATGATATTGATGTAATATTATCGTGAGTGTTTTGCGGGGAAGTATTAATATAACGTAATGCGATCGCTTAATACAGTTAAAACAAATCAGTTTTATTTATATGTTTTCAGTTATATGTTTGTCATAAATATCTGCGATTGTTGCATTTATTTTGTCTTGTTGTTTTAGTTTTGACGATGGGTCGTAGAAAAAGAAATTCGAAAAGAGTCTTTGTCACTGAGAAAATTTGCGAAAGGAAGATAGCGGAAAAATTAAATTCCGACGAAAAAGAGGCGATAGAGGAACAAAAAGAAAAAAATCTTTTTATCAATGAAATCGCGATCGACGTTTACTCGCGTTTGGAATTGCCACTCGTGTATCCAATGCAAGATGGATCGTTAAACGACAGCGATGAAGAGGACACTGTCGAGCTGAATTTCTGGCCACGTTTTGTCTTCGTGTCGAACCTATGTCTGATCTGCATGGAACGATCGGAGGAAACCTGTGAATCTTGCGGCATGGTTTCTTACTGTACCGTCAAACATATGAAGCAGGATCGACCGAAGCATCATGACCTGTGTAAAGTTCTCACTAAAGTTTGTCAGATCGGAGGTGGCTTGTCATTACTATCGGAACTCAGCGCAGATGATTATCGGATTTATCGGTTGAAATTGATCGAGATAGTACAGTGTCGCTTGGACAGGCCTCTTCAGCTCTGGGAAAAAGAGATTCTTCTTTATCCCCGCGTTTGTTGCAGTTGTCGTCGCTTCTCGACGACTTTAAGGTGTTGCCCGACATGCGGAATCGGCTTATTCTGCGAGAATCATGACGGTGGACATGAAGAATGGTGTCGAGAGTTTCAGGTGTTTCGTAGAATGCTGTTCATGCAGCACAAAAACGGTCATATAGAGCCTGAGATTCCGGATACCTTCCAGAAAGAACCGCTTCATTTACCAGACAATTTTGATCTGTTAATAGCACAGCTTTTCGGTTGCTCAACATATTATTTTAATATGGATTGCTATACGTACTGTAGTCTCTCTCATATATCATCTATTGCATTGACAGCTTTGTATTCTATGCAAATTTCTTGCCAGAATTGGAAAACTATTGATACCTTTGTGGTTCACGTAATAGGTGCCGAATTTCAATATGAATGTATAAATCTGCACGTGTGGGAGAAACTTTTTCTGCATCTCCTCCCGAATCTAAAGCAACTCAAGTTGATATTCATTGGTCCGGAACTGAGTCTGCCGACGGTGCCATTAGACCTGTTAACCACTGTGAAGATCTGTTCGTCTTGTAAATCATCTGGTCGACGAATAAAAATTTCGTTCCATCCTAAAAAATTTTATCACGATTTCTGTTATTCCAAACAATTTATAGAACCGCATTTCGTATGTCTCTTTAATCCGGGTCTTTATCGGGAAACTGGTTTTAAAAACAAAGATACGTGGCCGGAGACAATACGAGAATTCTGTAAAATGAAAATTCCCGTGTGCGTGACGTCTTACACGAAGCAGGAAATTCCACGAGAGATGATTAGAATAAAATCGATCGCTGATGTAGAAACGATTTTGGAGCCACAAAAAAATCCATTCGCTTCAATCAAACCTGATAGAAATTTCGTTAGTGACGAAACAGCGCCACTTATCTATAAAAATTATTATCTCACTATTGTTAAAGGAAAATTATAATTAATAATTTGAGAGAGATTTTCTTTTGAGATTACTTTACATTTAATTCAACGCGAGTGTCTTTCTGGAATACTTTACGTTTGAAATATTTTTTTATATCTTTTAATTTCTATTAGAGGGTAAGACCACGGTAGACAAACTGTCAGCCATCCCCATGTGTGGTTACATTGCCAAGAACTTTCTATAAATGACAGTACAGTTGGCCGACAATTTATCATGTGCTCTTGCTCTTATCTTTAATTTATATGTTATTATGTAAAAAATGTTATATATGAAAAATTTTAAAGAGATTATTACATAATGTGACAACTAAAGTTGGCGAGTTACGAAATTTGATGTATATTATAATATACAATCATTTTTTGTTATTATATTGTAATCTTTAGTTCAAATTGGAATTAAGTTAGTACTTAAAATATTTTTTATATCTTTTAATTTTTAGGACAAAAACAGACAATAAAATGTTGACTCATGTGCGCGATTACATTCATTGCCAAAGACTTTTAATAAATGATAAAACGGTTGGCCGACATTTTGTGCTCTTGCTTTTATTTTAATTTATATGCACATGTTATATATATGTATATGAAATTTTAAAGAGATTACTATATACTGTGGCAACTCCAAAACTGATGTGTTACCAAATTTAACGTATATATAATTGTAATATATAATATTACAATTATATTATATATAATATTATAATTATATTATATATAATATATAATATTATAATTTTTGTTATTGTAGTCTCTATTTCAATCTCTATTTCTATCTCAATAGTCTCTATTCTCAATTTAGAAATTAAATTAATATTTAAAATATTTTTTATATCTTTTAATTTCTAGTATTAAGGCAAAAGCAAATGATGAACAAAGTATTGGCCTTAATATTCATGTGCATGGTTACATACATTACGAAGGACATTTAATAAATGACAGAACAGTTGGCCACTTTGTCTATCGTGTGCTTTTAATTTATATGCAAACGTTATATAAAATTTCAAAGAGATTATACAATATGACAACCAAAGTTGGCGAGTTGCCAAATTTTTTTGTACTATAAAATACAATCATTTTTTGTTATTGTATTGTAGTTTCTACAATATCTCAAATTGGAATCAAATTAATATTTGCAATCTAAAAAATAATTTATTGTCTCGCTTATATAATTATTATGACATAAAATGTATAAATAATATAATATAATAATATAATAAGGAACTTTATTCCATTCATAATTCTATTATAATTTACGTATACTGTATGATTGACATCCAAGTGAGAAATTATTCTATTTATTCGATTTATAACAAAATGTGATATAATGTGCTAGTATATACAGGTTTATATTTATTTTATATAAGTAACGTGTTAAAGTACATAAGAAATTATTTTATTTTTCTTACATTTCGAAGGATGACTTTCTATATTATAGCAGCTCACTTATTTTATTATATAAAATCTTTAAAAGTATTAGACAGAATTTTATTCGATTATTCAATCGCGATATCAATTTTATTGGAAATGGTATGTATTGTATTATATTACATGTTTTATTATACATATAATATTACTATATCACATTACTTTTATATTAAAAGACATACGGTTATTAGCACTTTCCAATATCATTTCAAAATTCTATAAATTTATGTTTAATGTGCAGATTATTGAAATTTTTCCATATTTGAAATTAAATTCATCATCATTGCTGCAATAATTCAAAAAATCATCGTGTTACTCGTGTTGATATAAAATTTGCGATCTATAATCACGATTATTTGTTGAGCTCTATCTAAACATCAAAATAAATAAAATTAGACAATAATGTATCATAATGTAATTACATGAATGAGAGTGTAAAGAAATTACAGAAAAAAAATCGTATACACTATCTGTGTGATCACAACTTATCTAGTTTATTATAAAAATCGTGTGCATCACAAAAGAAATCTTATTGCGTTATATTATTTATCACTCATTTGCTACAATAATGACACAAAAAAAAAACAAAGACATAAAAAAAACAACATTTTCTAGAAAATAAAAACTATATTTTGAATTATTAAAAAATTTGTAGCATTAATTTTTAAAACGAAATTTTTATAAATATACTAATTATAGAGAAATAAATATGTTCTTTTAAAGTTTCATCTCTTTTATTTATGTTTTCAATATTTTTAATTTCTTGTAAGCATAAAAAAATAATAATTTTTTTAATTGTGTCGTTGGTGTAATACTGTAGCAAATAAGTGATACAGCAAAATATGCAATTAAAATATTTTTCAGTAAAAGTACAAGGAAACGATATTTATTTATTTATATTTAAATGTATATTATTTGTACCAGTTATATTCGAGATTAATTCTTCTCATGACTCATCATTGTTAATTTGACTATGAAAGGAAAATGCAATAACGTTTATCACAGCCATATAAAGATCGCCGTAAGAAAAGTTATTATTACCGCAAACGATACGGTGTTCTGTCCAATTGAATTTTTCCTGATATTTGACGGTAGCATATTAATATCGTAAAAATAACGATGGTAAGCATTGTCACAATGAGACGGCCAGTCTTTAAAACATGCCGCATACGCCACGGCGTGAGCAATATAATTTTGCTCAAAAGTACCTCGGAACAAGTGCGAATAGGGACCTGGAAGAAATATTATTTATTCTATCGTTTTTGAAATTGTTATTCGTGAAGATAAACTAATAAATAATAAATTAATAAACATGTAACTTGACTTTGCAATTTTCTAGTCTGTTTCTACCAATATAGAGTGTGAACTTTAATCTCGATTAATTTACTCATTTTTAATCTACATTGAAAGTAGAAATGACATTAGTTTGCAAAGTGAAATGTTTAAACAATAATATGATTGCTACTTAGAATCGCTTTAACAAATAATAAAGACTTAATGACCACATTCTATATTTGTGCTTGATGGTTGCAATTACAAAAACAATTACAAAATTTTTATTAAAATAAATCTCAAAACGAATTTTTAGGAAAAGCAATATACGCGGTCTTGTACAGTTGATCTGGATCATTTTGTACACACACACACACACACACACACACACACACACACACACACACACACACACACACACACACACACACACACACACACACACACACACAAAAATATATATAATATATATTTATATAATAGTTATATTCGGTACTGAATTGTCTTTGAATTAACAAGACTATTTTTAATTAAATTGCTATTGTGACTAACACTTCTAATGTAAATCACATCATTTTTTTCTGTGTGTATGAACTGTTCATGTACTGTTTCATTTTTCCTCTTTTTCTTTCTTTAATAAGCAATGTGAATGTTACACTATTAACGGAAATTACAATGTAATAAATTTGTGTTTTTTACCAATGGCATAAACCCCGACGTCTTCTCCGCCATGAGACTCGTCTTTGAGAAATTTACCAGCGAAGTGTCTGTAGAAGGGTTCATCGCGAGTTGAATCATTCTCGACTCTTCTCCAGGTTTCGTTAACGTTTTTGGTATCGTTTCTTCGATGGTAGAAGAATCCTGGTCCGTTAGCGTAGGAGAGTGTCTCATAGGGTATTTGACTAGCTTTCTTGTTGCCAAAACCGAGGATGTCGTTGCCCCTCGCAGGATATCCGTTCAGCGTGAACGAATGCGAGTGATCGGCTGTGACGATGATTAACGTTTCCTCTATATTTAATAGTCGTTGAGCCACCTTAACTGCCTCATCGAGTTCGTATAACTCGCGCAGTGCCAGTTTTGCCCAATTGCCATGATGGGCTATATCGATTTTACCACTCTCGACCTAAAAGATTGAAAAATAATTAAAGAAAAGTTGTCAGTTTATTGTTAATCTTTTACACTAAAACACGAGACATTAAGAAATATAATGGTATAATAAGCAAATGTATGTTTCTTTATTAATAAAGAAGTTGTAGTGTATATATATATATATATTATATAAAAAAAATTGCTCATGCACATAGTTGAAATAAAATGAATAAGAGATTCGATTAAGGCGGGTCTTGATGCCTAATAATAATATATTGTATGGATTTTTACAATTTCAAATAAATTACGCGTCGATTATTTGTCGATCTTGAAATTCAGTTTTAAAAATACAGTTTTGTTATGATTAGTAATATTACGTAATCTATCGTCTCTAAAACTGTGTTTCAACACAAATAATTAGCATGTAGTTTGTTTGAACTGGAAATTGTATGAATTCACTGGATGAAAATCTGATTATTTTAATTGAAATTCTGGTTAAAAATGGATAGATTAGAATTTTCTGTTTGAATCTATTATAATTTTACTTGAAATAACCAGAAAAAATTGTGATTAAGATGATCAAAATCTTTTGATCATCATTCTTATTTTCAATTAGAAACTTTCTCAGTACATAATATATTATTATCCATATAACATAGGGTTAATGTTTCATTTTGAGTTTTTTTCTCCATAATTCTTTGATATTAGAACAAGATTCTCGAATTATACATAAAATTATGTATAACATGACCTCGAGGTATACCCGCGAAAAGATTAAGATGAGAATGCATTAATGCGCGAAAATGGTCATCAATGTAATTTGCATAAGAATCGCATCAGATTTCTTGATGTGTCTCAATTTCGTTTCATTAATGTCATTTTAATATTCATCAAGTATGTTATTGCATAATGCTCGTTTTGCGTGACATTTGTTCTGACTTACATTGGTATAAATATTCAATACTATTTAGCAACGATTACACTGTTCATTGAAAAAGATGAATAAGAATGAAGGTAATAATATTTTTTAATTGTTTATTGTATATTTTGTTTAGCAAATTGCTATATCACAGTACATTAAAATTGTAAAAAAGATTATTTTAGTGTATTTTAGTATATTATAGGTATAACTATGATATGATGTGTTGAAGAAGTATATTGTAATCAAAATTAAGTATGTTGTTAGAGTTATCAGCCTTTAAATAAAGGAATCTGTGTCGAGTATGATTAAAAAGATATTCATGGTTAATATCGGATGAGGTATTTTAATTACCTCAGGCAGATGTCTCGGAAACTAATAGAGTTGTAGGTATTTTCTTGAAACAAGATGGAAATAACAGGTTTTGTATATGGGGCATTACCAAACTCAGGTCAACAAT